ATAATGTCAATATATATATTTGAGCATGCTAAGGTTTCTCCATGGCTATTACAGTTAAAGAAGGACAGGGTCATGTAGGAAATAGGTTTCATTTTGGGCGGTCTTAAGAGTCTTGACAACAGGTTTGTAAAAGGGGCTTAGAAAGATCTGTTTCTCCTTCAGAACTTGCCGGCACCAGCCAGGCAGCTTTCCTCTGTGGAAAGCATTCCTGGAGGAATTTCTAGCAACATGGCAGCCTAAACTCCTGGCCCAAGAAACGAAAATATCCTTGGGGTGGGGTGGAGGTGGGGGTAAATGCAAACTTTAGCTGAAAAGGAAAAAGGTATATTTTGGATTTCGGACAGGAAAGAGAGAATGGAAAGCAGGCACACATCAGGAGGAGGGATCAAAACCCAAGGCGGTAGGATTGGTTCCCACCAAAGTGACCCAGCTTGTAGAGCTGAAATTCCAAGTCCCTGGTTGCAGAAGGCTCTGGTGACAATGGAAACCCCACATGCATTTTCAGAGTCCCCAAGTGGATTAAGCCTCTGTGGAATTCCTTCTCACCACTCACTAGGGATGCCTTACCCTCAGGCAGAATGCTTCCGACCTTCCATTATCTCCACCTCTCCCTAGACCAGCCCAGGGAGGGACAGATGCTTTAAGGGCTTGTTAGCCAGGGTATGTCCTCAATGAAGATCTCCGTATTGTGGTGGCAGGGGGGTGGGGGTGGGCTCACGTAATCAAGATTGCCTGGATCGCCTCTGTCTGGAGGCCATGGACCAATGGTGTAAGCTCCTCGGTCCAATGTAATGTACATGCCCCAATCATGGATCTAGTCCCGGGCTATAATCCCAACTGTGATGTGTTGATCTGTCACCAATCATACTTTTGCGACAGTTCCTGTTAAGCACCCTTTTGAGATCATTTTCATTCTCTGCAGCTCAGCCAAACCTTTGGACTCTATTGTGACCTCAGAACCCTTGGACTCTCTTGTCTTCCCAATCCAGATGATTTGTCTCTGCCTTTGTCTCATTTCCGCACATTGCATCAGAATAGCATTTAATGAAATGTTATTGTGTTTAACACTTTTCATATGATAACATACAATAGCACTTCATACAATAACATATAATGAAATGTTGTCCTGTTTAAGACTTAGTAAATGTTTTCCTTCAATGATACTTAAGGAAATATTTGGGGTCTCTTCTGTACCCTAACATATCCCACAGCACAGAGACCTGCTCCGTGTGTTTCTCAAGGCTGGATGCTGCTGACTGCCACATCCGGTGGGTGGGCCCCTGACCTCTCAGGGCACAGCTGGGCGCTTAACCGCTGCACCACTAGAAACAAAAGTACCTGGATATTGCGGGGATCCTTACACCCCACCCCACCGTCTTCACCATCATTCTTCTCCCTAGAGGAACTTCTAGCAAAGGAACTCTTTCGGCCTCTCCCACCCGCGTGCCTACTCTCAGAAGTGGAATGCTTTAAACGATGAGTTGGGGAGAAGGGACTGGCGTGTCTGGATCAATCCTTTCTGGCTCCACTTTTCTTGGCACCTGCTGCAGGGTCAGCAGTATGGAGCCTCATCTCCCCAGGACACTGAGGAAATTCAAGAGGGCACTCT